TCAGGGGGATGTAGGAAACAAGAAGTAACTTCAGGGGTAAAATGGTAAATTGATCCAGCTCTAGTTACGAACAACCTATGAAGGATCGACTTAATAATTATGGTTATATCAAATGGATAGAAATATATCTATAGTGAGGGGAGTGCAACTACTAGGCTATAGTGGAGTGTCCTAGTAGTTAACGAATGTTGGTTAACAAGGTTAATGAGTTTAGTCGGTTAATCTCGGATTGTTGGAGCTCATGATCTATAGGTCCATTAGGTTCCCCTATTAGCTCATATAGGACTAAACCATAGAATAGTGTGATGAGTGAGTTTGAAGTGTTTGAATTCAAATTAATATGTGCTACATACATACGATATATTTAACCACATTTTTGTTTTATTTACGAATTAAACAAAAAAAGAGAATCGGAGATATTTAAATATTTTAATTAAATGTGTCGGAATTGATATGGATTGACATTTGAATTAATGTTAAATATTAATTAAATAGTTTAATTAATCATTTAATATTACTCAAACTAATTGTTGAATTAAAATGAAGAAAGTCAAAAGGTTGACTTCACTTAATTGGAAAATCCATGTTTGAGTTGATGGAATTTTGAGTGTCAAAATTTGGTTAACTCAAACTTGCATGCTTGTCACATAATCCCACACATTTGAGTGGAATTTTGAGTGTCAAAATTTGGTGATCTCAAATTTACATGAACATGCAAATATGACTCTATAAATAGAGTGATCAAGGTACATGGAACTTCTTCCTTGAAAAAACCTTGAGAAAAACTCTCACAAACTCTTTCTTCATATATACTAAATTCCTTCCAAGTTTAGTCACTCACCGGATTCCACAATCCCGTTCTAAAGTCGAAGAATAGTAGAGAAGACACTAGTGGTGGTTCGAAACTGGTTCGTGAGAAAAAAGAAATTTAAACTACAAAAGGTTAGTACTCCAACTTCTTGAGTTTTAATACTTATGAACATGCTAGTTATTTATTATAATTGATATTCTAAGAGTGCCTAAGATTCAAATTGCTTCCGCATGTGTTATATTAACACCATCATTAAAGAGGGTCTCTCTAACCGGTGAAAAGTGGTGGGTGTCCACTAATGGCCATTCCTGGCTCGGCTCCGATAATGCAATTCCGGGAGGAGTCGGTTGTTTGGCACTAGATCACGTCAACTCCCATTTCGTTATAAGGCGTAGAATTAGACCAAGGAATTTCAAGTTTATTTCTTTAGCCCCTCAAACATATCAACATTTGTTGAAAGATTTTATTGTTTTTTGTTTTCATTTTGCAATGGTCAATTGGTCAAAATTGACTTCGTCATTTGTGGAGATTAAAGGGGATCGGGATTGAATCCCGGCCACAAACGTCTTTTGTCGGGAGACTATAAATACCCACAATATGTTATGTAAAAATCAGATTCGTGGATGAATGTAATTCAGATTTCAAATTGAAACGTTTCCCTTAGAAATCCGAGCATCATATTTTCCATTTCTAAGTTTCAAGCAATTCTTGTGGTAGAATTGCACCCGAGCCATTCAATCAAGCCTTGATCAAGCTAGATTGTGGAGTGACTCAATTTAGAACAAGGTTTCCAAATCTTGCTTCTAGATCTTCGATCATAAGAGGTAATCTAATTCTAGCCTTATCTCTTGGTTGATCCAAATTTCGTATAAGGAGGTGTTAATTACTTTTGATTCAGGGGTTCTTGCTTCAACAAAAGTTTGGATCGTTGGGTTGAGGATTAGGGTTGCCTTATCAATTTGGTATTAGAGCCTAAGCTTACATCTTTGTGGCCAACTCTAGAATTGATTTTATCTTTCATTTCTGCTCTTGTTTATCTTTTCTTTAAATTTGTCCATTTATTTTCTTGCTGTCATTTCAGTCATTATTCATCAACTTTTCACTTTTTTCTCATTTTCTTCTTAAAGATCACGTTGAGATCTTGAAAATCAAAAAAAAAAAAAAAAAATCTTATCATATTTGTTCTTACGATTGTGATTATAAACGATATTTATCATTTTTTTAGATCATTTGCATGCTTATTTGAAGATCAAATAAACTTCGATTCACATCTTTTTCTTCATCCATCTAAATCTAGAATCGTTGTGTTTGATATATTTTTTTTTCTTTTCCTCATAATCTACGCTTGAGGATAACTTCTAAATTTCCCGAATTCTGTAAAAATGAGAGTCAGATCGTTCTTAAAATCTTCACGTCCTTTCTTTTTTGGATTTTTTTTTTCAGTGTGCAATTATATCCAAAAATATCTTCGTGTCCCTTATTTTTTTTTTTTTTGTTCACGTCTTGTTTTATTTTGTTGTTATTTCATAATTAACTTATCTTGATTGCCTTGAATAGCTTGCTATTATCAGAACTGCTTTACCGATATATTAGCCTACCTTGATCATAATTTAGTCACTTTCCCAAATAGCCTACCCTTGTGTGTATGAACACGAGTGTCCATGAGTGTAAAATCAGTGAGTTGAGTGTGTGAGGTCCTAAACATATTCCCGTTTGTACAATCATGAACCAAGATGGAGAAAATGAAGGGGAGATCAATGAAGCTAGGTGGAGTGAAGCACATATCGGAACAATTACTCGTTTGAATCAAGTTATTAGTACATTGACAGACCGGATGGAGCGAATTGAAATAGCTTTAGGTAATCTTAAAGGGAGGTAAGTACTCTTGAATGAAGGAGTTGAAAATGAAGAAGATGACAATGTCACCCTTTTAACTGGACATAGTCCTAGGGGAGGGAGAGATGTCGGTCGAGGGAGAGGAAGAGTCAGAAGAAGGGGTAGAGAAATTTTAGCACCAAAAAGAATTGAAGGGGAGTACCAGTATGAGAGAGAAAAAGAAAAAGGAGTCGGGGGAGTAAAGCTAAAAATTCCAACTTTCTATGGGAAATCTGATCCAGAGGAGTATTTGCAATATGAGAGCAAAATTGAGCATGTCTTCGATTGCAACAATTTCAGTGAAGAAAGAAAGTTGAAGCTTGCAGTGGCTGAATTTTGTGATTACGTCATTATATGGTGGACATCTTTTACAAACAAAAAAAAAAATAGGAGGGAAATTCACTGTGGCGCGCTCAAAAAATCCGCTTCCGTTATTGCTGCTGGATTGGCGGTGCGGGGACGAGACGAGAAATCAGAGTGGAGGAGAAGTTATGAAGAACCAATTGAAACGTGAGATGAATTGAAGACATTAATGAGAAAAAGGTACATTCCTAAGCATTATTCTCGAGTACTCAAGTAAAAGCTCTATACTTTACAACAGGGATCCAAAAGTGTTGAAGAATATTATAAAGAAATGGAGAGCCTTATGAATAGAGCATGTATTGATGAAGATGAGGAAGATACAATGGCTAGATTTCTTGGTGGGTTAAACCGACAACTTGCTCATCAAGTGGATAGGCAAACATACTTTGTTATGCAAGAATTGTTACACCTTGCTGTCAAAATCGAAGGGCAACTAGCTTGGGAGAAGGAGAGCTCCAAGAGGTATGGTATTTCAAAGTCTACTACTTTCAACACTTAAACAAAGAATGCAAATATTGAAAAGATAGATTTCAAAGTTGGAGGCAAGTATGATCTTGACAAAAAGAACAAAGATGAGACCTCCAAGGGTAGAGAGAAAGCAGAGGAATATAAGGAGATTCGAGAAAGAAATTGAGGCATCAAATGTTGGAAATGTTAAGGAATTGGTCATCTTAGTCGTGATTGTTCTAACAAGAGAGTCATGATCATCAAGAATGGACAAGTTGTCACAGATAGTGAGGAAAGTGACCATGATGAGCTAGTTGAAGAGGAAATCCATGAGCATGAGGAGGAACTAAAAGATGGGAGTCATTTGGTACTTGTTACCAGAAGACTTCTTAAAACTCAAGTTACAGAGAATGATGTTGATGATCAAAGAGACAACCTATTTCACACAAGGTGTTTAGTCAAGGGGACTCCTTGTAGTCTTGTAATTGATAGTGGAAGCTGCACCAATGTCGTAAGTACAATGTTGATCAAAAGGTTGCTAATTCCAACCCAACACCATCCTAAACCTTACAAGCTTCAATGACTCAATGACAGTGGAACAATGAAGGTGACTTCTTAAGCTTTAATATCTTTTACTTTAGAAAAATATAAAGATGAAGTTCTTTGTGATGTTTTACCAATGCATGCTGAAGACATATTGCTTGGCCGTCCATGGCAATTTGACAGGAGGGTTATGTATGATGGCTATTTGAATCGGTATTCTTTTGTAAAAGATGGTAGAAAAACCACTCTTGTGCCTTTGAGTTCTGAAAATGTATTTGCTGATCAATTAAAGTTGGAAGGAAAAAAAAAAAGAGTTTTGAGAAAAAAGAGTTGAGTGAAAAAATAGAGAAAAGTCAACGAGAAAACCATAGTGAAAAAAAAAAATGCAATTGGATAAAAAGAAAAGAATGTGAGTTGTTTGGCTAGAGTTGGAGAGGTTAGAAAGGCAATGTTCTCACAAAAAACCATCTTTGTACTTGTGTACAAGGAAGGATGTTTGGTCTCTAACGATAATAATTTGTCTTTGCCTAGTATGTTTCAATCTCTTTTACAGGAATTTGATGACGTATTCCAAGATGAAGTCCCTAAAGGGCTACCTCTAATTAGAGGTATTGAACATAAAATAGACTTCATTCCAAGGGCGATAATTCCTAATAAGCTAGCTTATAGAGCCAACCCAACTGAGACAAAAGAAATTCGAAGGCAAGTAGAGGAGCTTATGGAGAAGGGCTATATACGAGAGAGTTTGAGTCCATGTTCTGTACCAATCTTATTGGTGTCGAAGAAAGATGGAATGTGGCGCATGTGCGTGGATTGTAGAGCCATCAACAAAATCATGGTAAAGTATCGACATCCTATTCCTAGGCTAGACGATATGCTTGATGAATTGCATGGTTCATGTTTATTTACAAAGATTGACTTGCAATCTAGATATCATCAAATTAGAATGCATGTAGGAGACGAATGAAAACCCGCGTTCAAAACTAAGTTTGGATTGTATGAATGGCTTGTTATGCCTTTTGGGTTAACTAATGCTCCTAGTACATTTATGCGCTTAATGAATCACGTTTTGAGAGAATATTTAGGAAAACATGTTGTTGTGTATTTTGATGATATTTTAATTTATTCAAAGACCTTGCATGAGCATGTGGAGCATGTTAAGTTAGTTTTGATTACACTTAGAAAAGAGAAACTTTATGCTAATTTTAAAGTGTAGTTTTTGCATGAAAAAAGTTAAACTTTCTTGGCTTCATAGTTGGTAAAAATGGAGTAGAAGTAGATGAAGAGAAAGTTAAAGCAATCAGGGATTGGCCAACACCACAAAATGCAAGTGACGTTCGTAGTTTTCATGGGTTAGCTTGCTTCTATAGGAGATTTATAAAAGATTTTAGCACCATAGCTGCACCATTGAATGACTTGGTGAAAAAGAATGTTGTTTTTAAATAGGGAGATATGCAAGAAAATGCATTTAATGAGCTTAAGAATAAATTAACCAATGCATCATTACTTGTCTTGCCTAACTTTGATAAAACTTTTGAAATTGAGTGTGATGCAAGTGGTTTGGGCATAGGTGCTGTTTTGATGCAAGATGGCAAACCCATAATGTATTTTAGTGAAAAACTAAATGGGGTAGCATTGAACTATCCTACCTATGATAAAGAATTTTTTGCTTTAGTTCGCACATTGCAGGTGTGGCAACACTACTTATGGCCTAGAGAATTTGTGATCCACTCTGATCATGAAAGCTTGAAGTATCTTAAGGATCAAAGCAAACTGAACCGTAGGCATGCAAAGTGGGTGGAGTTTATTGAAACATTTTCGTATGTCATCAAAAATAAGCAAGGTAAGGATAAAGTGGTAGCTGATGCATTATCTAGAAGGCACAATCTTTTTACTTCTCTCAGTGCAAAAATTCTTGGATTTGAGCATATTAAAGAATTATATCGAGATGACCACGACTTTGGAATTATTTATGCATCTTGTCTTACAAAAACAGTTGTAGATGATTATTATGTGTTTCATGAATTCTTTATTTAAGAAAAGTAAGTTTTGTATTCCTAAATGCTCTATCCGAGATTTGCTTGTTAAAGAAGCACATGGTGGTGGCTTAATGGGACATTTTGGGATTAATAAAACTTGTAATATGTTGCATAAACACTTCTTTTGGCTGAAAATGATGCATGATGTTCATAAATTTTGTAGTCAATGCTTTAAATGCAAAGAAGCTAAATCTAGATCACAACCAAATGGATTGTACACTCCTTTGAATGTACCTAATGAACCTTGGACTAATATATCTATGGATTTTGTTCTTGATTTATTGCAGACTAAAAAGGGTAAAGATAGTATTTTTGTTGTGGTAGACAGATTTAGTAAGATGGCTCATTTTATTGCATGTAACAAGACGGACGATGCAAAACATGTTGCTGACTTATTTTTTAGGGAAGTAGTAAAATTACATGGAATCCCTAGAATAATAATTGTTGTTTTTCAACTACATGTCATCCTCAGATGAATGGACTTGTTTTTCAACTACATGTCATCCTCAGATGAATGGACAAACTGAGGTGGTTAATAGAACATTAGGAGCATTGCTTAGGGCTATTATTTCTAAGAATATTAAGTCTTGGAATGAATTTTTGCCATTTGTAGAGTTTGCATCTAATAGAACAACTCATTATTCTCCTTCTGAAGTTTTTTATGGATTTAATCCAGAAGTTGTTTATGGATTTAATCCACTTACGCCTCTTGATTTGCTTCCTAGTTTATGGATTTAATCCACTTACGCCTCTTGATTTTCAACTACATGTCATCCTCAGATGAATGGACAAACTGAGGTGGTTAATAGAACATTAGGAGCATTGCTTAGGGCTTTTATTTCTAAGAATATTAAGTCTTGGAATGAATTTTTGCCATTTGTAGAGTTTGCATCTAATAGAACAACTCATTATTCTCCTTCTGAAGTTTTTTATGGATTTAATCCAGAAGTTGTTTATGGATTTAATCCACTTACGCCTCTTGATTTGCTTCCTAGTTTATGGATTATGGATTTAATCCACTTACGCCTCTTGATTTGCTTCCTAGTTTATGGATTTAATCCATCCAGAAGTTGTTTATGGATTTAATCCACTTACGCCTCTTGATTTGCTTCCTAGTTTATGGATTTAATCCACTTACGCCTCTTGATTTGCTTCCACTTACGCCTCTTGATTTGCTTCCTATTCCTTCTAACTGTTTGTGAGTGACGCAGCCACAAGTTTCAATCATGGTGTTCCAAATGTTCCAACTGGACCTATTACACGATCCAATCTACTTTCAATGTTGCAGTGTTCCAACTGTTCCAACTGGACCTATTACACGATCCAATCTACTTTCAATGTTGCGGTATTCCAACTGGACCTATTACACGATCCAAGGCGAAGAAGATTCAACAAACATTCATTCTTCATCTACAAAATTAGATCAGCTCGGTTCAACCATCATTTGTAGAATTAGAAGCTGATACAATTGACGAAGGACAATTGAATATTTTTACGGTTGAAATTGGAAAACATTAAGAATATCAACAACACAGTTTGAACCTACACAAGTGAAGCCTAATAGATTTCAAGTTTATTTCTTTAACCACTCAAACATATCAACATTTGTTGAAAGATTTTATTGTTTTTTGTTTTCATTTTGCAATGGTCAATTGGTCAAAATTGACTTCGTCATTTGTGGAGATTAAAGGGGATTGAGATTGAATCTCGGCCACAAACGTCTTTTTTCGGGAGACTATAAATACCCACAATATGTTATGTAAAAATCAGATTCGTGGATGAATGTAATTCATATCTCAAATTGAGACGTTTTCCTTAGAAATCCGAGTATCATATTTGTCATTTCTAAGTTTCAAGCAATTCTTGTGGTAGAATTGCGCCCGAGTCATTCAATCAAGCTTTGATCAAGTTAGATTGTGGAGTGACTCAATTTAGAACAAGGTTTGCAAATCTTGCTTCTAGATCTTCGATCGTAAGAGGTAATCTAATTCTAGCCTTATCTCTTGGTTGATCCAAATTTCATATAAGGAGGTGTTAATTACTTTTGATTCAGGGGTTCTTGCTTCAACAAAAGTTTGGATCGTTGGGCTGAGGATTAGGGTTGCCTTATAATATATACTTTAATTTCATTCCCCTATAAGATCAATATCACAACCAATATTCTAAGAAATGAGATTTTTAGATATCGGTAGTTGTTCGATCGTATCCAAACAGGAAAATTCCAGAGGAAAGTGCACCTAAGATCAAATATTTTGAGCCAGCTTCCGTGGAAAATTCGGACTTTCTTTTTTATGCTGCCCTCACATAAAACATAAACTTTGAGGCTCAATAGCTAAATACATGGAAATTGAATCATGAACCGAGATCGTAAAGAGCATACTGCGAGTAGGAAGTGGAATTAATACAATGAATTCAAAAGCATCAAACCTCTATTGTTCGAAAGAACCGAAACACATCGAAAACAAGTCGTACTTAATAATAGAAGGATTTGGCAGAAATATGTAAAATTGTCCCTCCTAAAAAGATTATTTTGGAATAAATAGGCAATAGTTAGGAGAGGTGCGTCAGCGGCGAGCAGAACCAAGGTAATTAGATACCTCAGGAAAGCCCGGGCAGAACCACACATGCAAGTTTCCCTGCATGTGGCTCGTCCGTGATAACTTCTTTGGATTTGCGTGAACTAGCGAACCGATCAGTTAGTGTGGATGCTCCCTCCAGCATGAGTCAACATTTATGAACTGGTTAGGAATGGGCGCCACGAGACCAGCCCAAATACAGCCAAGTTCTCTTTCTCATGTCTCCTTCCCAACAATTATACCTTGTTTTAGGGCTTGGCTTTACGAGAGAAAGCTCGCCGGAGAAAAATGTCTTTCTCTTCCCGTCTCGGATCATATTCTGGTGCATCAAAATAAGAGGAAATCGTAATGCATCTTGCTTAACAGGTGTAGCTTGGAGTGGGAGTGTAGGGTGGGTAAGGTAAGGAGGCCACTAGAGAGGAAGCCAAATGGCCTATTAAGCGCAACTAATCTATTATGCGCTGGAGAAAGCCAGTTGCCGGAGCATTGATTCCCCATAATGAATAGGGTAGTTCGAGATCTCAATTGCCTATCCTATGCTTGATAAGGTCCCGCAGTTCTATGGCAGCACCTCGCGGTGCATTTTGTTGTCTTACATGAGACTCGAGATATTCCTCACTCCATGGCATGGCACCTTTCACTCATCCATTCCGCCCGTGCAAACGCGGCGCCCTTTTTCATTATCATCTACCGCCCTTTCTTTCCTCCCAGCTATTCACGCATGAGGATCGTCGTATGTATGCTCGACTTTGGTTGCCGGTGCTATAGGTTCATTATGGTAGGATCAGTCATCAGGGCAAACCAACCCTCCTCCAAGAAGAATTGTGCTATACCCCCCTGATCCCTATAGATGGAAGGAGCTTCTTGGTGATCCCTAGGTTGCAGCACGTCTGGTCGTTAACTCCTCGCGCTGCTGCCGTTGTTTCTAGGACCGACTGACGCCTCACCAACACAGGTACCTACGTAGTGTAGTATCGGTGGCACATTCAACATAGCGTTCGGCCTCATGTGCTTTCTAGAACCAAGGGTCTTCGAGCCTGCTGCGTACGATTAGCCAGCCTTGTGGCAGCAAAAGGATTAGATGTCCCCCCATGCTACGGTTCCCTACGGCCCAAACTCGGTGCCACATTAGGTTAGGGAGTTGGCGATAATAGTTCGTCTGCATCCAAAAGCACGCTGCCCTCCTAGGCGCGCAACACTAAGTAATCCAAGCCAACCCACATTACTGGCTAACGGTGGATAATAAGATTTCTTAGAGGTACTAAATACTGTTAAAATAAAACTGATATGAACCACGACTAAGGAATTTCCATACCTCAAGGTTCAATTACAAGAACGAGAGCCAAGAGGCTATAACAAACCTTATACAATTATATTCAAGCTATGGTGAGCTCATAAAAGGAAATTTTAGAAGACGTTGGAGACCTCCCTTATATGTTATACAAAGTTGAGCTTCAAGAAAGAGATGAATTAAATGCACTTTAAGTTGCATTTAATGAACTCCGCTGAATTTATAAAACTAGTCAAAGGATGACTAATAAGCACATTTTATTAATTGTATTATTTAATTATAGTTTAACCATTTGTTTGTCATATTTAAGCTAGTTTTAAATATATGAGTTAAGGTTATATTGTAACTCACATAGTTACTATATTCCACAATTAACTAGTCATTTTAATATGAAGGTTAGGGGTATTTCTCATTTACTAGCCTATTTAATTTAGAAGTTATGTATCACATAGGTTAAGGTTGTAAAGGCTATATAAAGCCTTCTTTTCTTTGATTAGAGATTAGATTTTTGGAATTAAGAATAGAATTTCTATTTTAGCTTTGTTGAGAGCTAAACTTTCTTTGCAAATTTTTGTGTTTAGAACTTGCATGCTAGAGTCATTCAAGTGGTATTGATCAAACCTCTTGTGGAGTGATTCGAATCACGAGTTTAGAAACGAGTTTTCCTTACTCTTGATCTTGATCATCAAGGTAATTCGTTCCATACTTTCCCTTGGGTTGATTTCCATATCATTTGGTCACAGAGCCTTAGGCTCATGATCGGATATATGTTTCATTGCGCTTATCTCTTTTTGTAACGACCCGAGATTTTTTACTTAATTTAAGATCGCTACTGTATACGTACCATAAACATTGAATGTGGAAGACTTCATTAAAATTGTTGTGTTTTATGTCCTAAAACTCATAGTTTGTAAACAAAAACATATTATATTTTCAATAAAGTTATTGTTGTTGTTTATTCAGTAAAGATTGTTATTGAATAAAGTGAACTTTACGATCATTAATCTAAATTCAATAACTAAGAACACTCTGGCTATAGTATGATTACTTGAACTATATGTAGAGACATAAGAATTGATCAAGTTCAAGTATATAGTCAAAATGATCTATAGTATAAGGATAAGACTGAGTACCTTATTCTGGGGACACTATGGATGCGGCCCACTTTTGTATATGGTATAAACAATGTGATCACTAAAATTGTACATGTGGAGACATGTGAGTGGGGGCATCCTATGCAATGAGTATTGCATAAGATCGGATCATGAAGAAAATTACTCTCACTTTATAATGTCGTTTACTGTTGAGACTGATTTTCTTTTCATTCGATGACCTAGGTAACTCGATTTTAATTCTGAGCTAACCATGAACTCCTGTTTATTCAGAATTATCCTTAGATTTGCATGGGTGAGAGTGGCTCAAGTTCGCCGACTCAATAGGCCTTCCATTCCAGGGGTAAGACTGGGTAAATGGTTGAGGACATGGGGTGCAAGATGGAATTCACTCCCACCTACTTTTAGGGATAGAAGAGAGGTAGTTCCCTTAAGTACTAACTCCAGGTCTTGAACAAGAGGCCCCACCCTCTCATTGGCTTGAGAGGGATTTGGTTTACTGGTTGGACCACAAACCAATTGTTCATTAGAGAATCAGTGAGACATAAGAAACAAGAAGTAACTTCAGGGGTAAAACGGTAAATTGACCCAGCTCTAGTTATGAATAACCTGTGAAGGATCGACTTACTAATCATGGTTATATCAAATGGATAGAAATATATCTATAGCGAGGGGAGTGCAACTACTAGGCTACAGTAGAATGTCCTAGTAGTTAATGAATGTTGGTTAACAAGGTTAATGAGTTTAATCGGTTAATCTTGGATCGTTAGAGTCCATGATCTATAGGTCCATTAGGTCCCTTTGCTAGCTCATATCGGACTAAACCATAGAACAATGTGACGAGTAAGTTCGAAGTGTTCGAATTAAAATTAGGGAGAATGCACTACATATATACGATATATTTAACCACATTTTTGTTTTATTTACGAATTAAACAAAAAGAGAGAATCTGAGATATTTAAATAAGAGTTAAATATCTTAATCAAATATGTGTCGGAATTAATTGAGATTGACATTTAAATTAATATTAGATATTAATTAAATAGTTTAATTAATCATTTAATATTACTTTTATTTGAAATTAATAATTCAAATTGATTGTTGAATCAAAATGAAGAAAGTCAAAATGTTGACTTCATTAATGGAAAAAACCATGTTAGTGGAATTTTGAGGTGTCAAAATTTGGTTTAACCAAACTTGCATGCTTGCCAAATAAACCCCACAAATTTGAGTGGAATTTTGAGTGTCAAAATGTGGTGAACTCAAACTTGCATGCTTGCCACCTAATCCCTAACATTTGAGTGAAATTTTGAGTGTCAAAGTTTGGTGATCTCAAATTTGCATGACCATGCAACATGACTCTATAAAAAGAGTGATCATAATACATGAAAGGTCTTCTTCTTGGTGAAAAACCTTGAGAAAAACTTCTCACAAACACTCTCTTCATATATACAAAATCCCTCCCAAGTTTAGTCACTCACCAGATTCCACAATCCCGTTCTAAGGCCGGAGGATAGTGGAGAAGACACTAGTGGTTGTTCGAAACCGGTTCGTGAAGAAAAAGGAATTTGAACTACAAAAGGTTAGTATTCAAACTCATTAAGTTTTAATACTTATAAACATGCTAGTTATGTACTATAGTTGATGTTCTAAAAGTGCCTAAGATCCAAATTGCTCCCGCATGTGTTATATTAACACCATAAAAAATTTCATAAAACATAACCTTTATCTTAAAACACACCCATGGACTTACGTGTTTCGAAAACATCTTTAAAACAACACAACAAAAGACTAAATAAAATGAATAAGAGTTTAAGTTTAAAACATCTTACGTGTTTCGAAATGATGGGACCTATCTTTCGTTTCGTTTCATTTCGTTTCTTTTTCCCTACGTTGTTGTCCTAATGGATAATCGTGAACGTGTACCATATACTCTACACACAGCCCATACGTGCGAGTATGGACTCACCAGCTAGTTCGCACTCCGTTGAGCCACTTTCCTTATTCGATGGGCATACTCTGGGAGCCCCTTATGCCGGGACCCATTAAAACTAGTAACTGTCACGGCAGCGCTATGCAAAGCATAATGATCGTTGTCCTGCCATTGGATGTACGGGTCCATACCCTCGTGATGGGATACGGGTATCCCCCCAGATGCATGAACACACATAATGCATGAGGTCCCCCTACTTCTACATTTATCATTAATGAACATAACCCCCCTGTCACGTTCAATGCTTCATGTCATTCTTATTTTCAATTTACATTTCTTACATAGTTCTATCGGGGTTGTGATTCCAGACAGTTTACCGTGTTTCGTGTCATACAATTCATGCTGTTTACATTCAAACATTCCATACAATCATGCCATAACCAATCAAGAACAACATATCGTCACATGTATTACACATCACATCAGACTAAACAGCATACATAGCATACATTCATGTTCACATGACTACGTACTTAAGCACAATAATCTAGCATACAATTTAATGACACGTGCAAATCCACGGGCACGTGCCAACATACAACAAATAACGCATAACCTACAATGGGTGAGCCACTTACCTGGCTAGTTGAAGTCGTCGCCACGAATATATCTTTAATGAAAGTTCGATTCCGTCCTTTGAAATCTGGGTCAACCTATATGAGCCAATGACATTAGTTTCGGGTTTGAACTCTACAACATTATTTCTCTAATTTACATTGGTCCATTGTTAAAAGTATTGAAATGTTATATATTTATAATTATATTTTTATTAACAATTTTATTTTTCATGGTTATAATAGATACAACTATTTCAAGTTATTCTGGGCTTTCCTACTCCCTCCGTGTATCTACCCTCTATATTTACCTTCCCCTCTAGATTTAGTTTGTGGTTTTTAATTCCGAAATCTTCTCTCTTTTTCTTTTATCTATTGCTTTTTAATTATGTTATCATGTATTCCAAATTTACCGTGGATCTCTATTTCCAAATCCCTTATCTCAGTGTTTCCTATTTCCTTATCTCAGTATTTCCTATTCAGAAGTTTTCTTGACCATTCCATCTTTAATCTAATATTACTAATCTGACGTGATTTATTAGAATCGTATAAATGATTGACATTTAGTTTCTAACTCAAAGCTAGACCATTGTAATATTACTAATCTGACTTGATTTACTAAAATCGTATAAATAGTTTCTAACTCAAAGCTAGACCATTGTAATAAAGATCTAACGATAATTGGTTGTGATTTCTAAAAAATAGGATAAAAAAAAATAGAATAAAAGAAATTGAAGGGGGCGACGCTTCTTGTTTTCCCACTTTTTCTTATGCTTGGAAGCCTTCTCTAAATATGCCCGTGCTATATCTGTTGTTTGCTTCCATTCTCTTGTGAAGTTGTGAGCTTGAGGGTTTTTCCCTGCATAAGGATGATCAATAATATGGGGTAAGGTCGGTTGTTGTCCGCTGACAATTTCAAAGGGACTCATTCCCGTAGACGAGCTGGTTTGACAATTGAAGCAAAATTGGGCGACATCTAATAGTTGTATCCAGTTCTTCTGGCGAGCGTCGACGAAGTGACGTAAGTATTCTTCGAGCAAGCAATTGAACCGTTCTGTCTGTCCATCAGTTTGAGGGTGGTAACTCGAGGAGATGTTTAAGGTTGTTCCCAAGAAGGTGAATAACTCGGCCCAGAATGTCCCAATGAATCTGCCATCCCGATCACTGATGATGCTCGACGGAATGCCCCATAACTTTACAATGTGTTTGAAAAATAGTTGAGCTGTGAGTTCGGCCGAGCATAATTTGGGAGTGGGGATGAACGTCGCATATTTTGAGAATCGGTCTACGATAACCAAGATAGCGTCATATTCCCCGAATTTTGGAAGGTGTGTTATGAAGTCCAGAGATACACTTTCCCAGGGTCTTGTCGACACAGGTAGAGGTTCCAAGAGTCCTGAGACTTTGGCTTTCTCGACTTTGTCCTGTTGACAGATGAGGCACGTCTTGGTGTATTGCATGATGTCATCTCACATGTTTGGCCAGAAGTACCCCTTTTTTATTAAGGCGTATGTTCTTTGCCACCCAGGGTGCCCGGCCCATAAGGTATCATGACATTCCTGAATGAGCTTCTTTCTCAGTTCTCCCATTCTTGGGACATACAATTTGTTTCCTTTTGTCATCAGAAGGTCTCCCTCAACCCAAAACTGTCGTGTTTTCCTAGCTTTAGCTAGTTCGACGACGGCTTTGGCCGATGGGTCTTTATGTAAATGTTCCTTGATGATGTCGCGCATCGATCCATCGATCTTACTTGAGTGAATATGTGTTAACATGCACAGGGCCGCCTGTTCACCCTTCCGACTCAGTGCGTCGGCTGCTTGATTACTCTTTCCTGCTTTGTGTTCTAACTTGAAGTCGAATTCGACCAACGACACCTGCCATCGGGCTTGTTTTGCGGTCAATTTTGGTTGATCAAAGAAGTGGCAAATGTCGTTGTTATCCATCTTCACTATGAACTGTGATCCCAAGAGATACTGTCTCTAGACTCGAAGGCAATGGACTACTACCAACATTTCTTTCTCGGAGACAGTGTATCTACGTTCGGCATCATTGAGCTTTCGGCTTTCGTAAGCGATGGGGTGGCCTTCCTGAATAAGGACCCCACCTAGGGCAAAGTCGGAAGCATCTGTTTCTATTTAAAATGGCTTTGTAACATCTACCAATCCGAGGACAGGACCCCTCGTCATGGTTGTTTTCAGATCTTCAAAGGCCATTTGACAATCATTTGACCACGACCAAGGGTGGTCTTTCTTCAACAGCTCTGTCAATGGGGCGGCTCGTCGTGAAAACCCTTCGACGAACCCCCTATAGTAGTTGGCTAATCCTAAGAAGGACCGCACATCGGATACGGAAGTAGGAACCTTCCATTCTTGGATAGCTTTTATCTTATCGCTATCCATACTAATCTGTCCACATTTTATGACATGTCCAAGGAAGTTGATGCATGTTTGTGCGAATGAACATTTCTCTTTCTTGACATACAGTTGGTTTTGTCGTAGCTTGTCGAACACCAGCTTCAAGTGCACTTTATGTTCCTCTAGGGTTGTGCTGTAAACCATTATGTCGTCGAGGTATACTATGACAAACTGATCCAAGTATTCATAGAAAACTTGGTTCATCAACGTGCAGAAAGTAGCTGGAGAACTTGGTTCATCAACGTGCAGAAAGTAGCTGGAGCATTTGTCAAGCCAAAGGGCATTACTAGGAATTCGAAGGCCCCATATCTTGTTACACACGTCGTCTTGGGCTCGTCCCCTTCGGCAATACGTACTTGGTAATACCCTGATCGTAAGTCCAACTTCGTGAAGTACTTGGCACCGTGAAGTTGGTCGAATAAGTCAGATATTATCGGCAGTGGATATTTGTTGCGTACCG